TGAAAACCGTTTAAATATTTGCAATTAACAGGTCGAATCAGGTCGAATTCAATGAGCCGAAATCGATACAGCATGACCAATTCGTCTTGAATTGTTTTCGTAATTCTCCAGCCAAAGAACTGATCTATAGCAAAGCTTTTGTAAACGTACCCATCGCCACGGTAAGCGCAACACTAAATTTCTTGTAGAAATTTTCCAATTTCTGACGTGTTGTAGTTTGTGTTATTGAAACACCTTAGAGTTTCCTTTCTACGATTGCACTCTTTCAGGGACCAGCGAAGGCGCCAAAATTTTTGGATCGTAGTGTGGTTAGTCTACTCATAATTTATATATTGTGTTGTTTAACTTATAGAACTCCTTCGCAATGCACAAGGCCCAACCGATATGTAACTGCTTTCACGAGAAATTTTCTAGGGTATTGTATAGTTAAAGTAAATCAGTAAGTAGGCGACCTTAAGAACTGACAGCTTGGGAACTTGTGAATTCAGACCTCTTCGGTATGTGTCATGCAATCCATTTCTGATCACAGTCCCAGATTAATTCCAGTGCCTGTTTAAAGTTTATAATGATTTTCGGGAATGAGTTGATGTTCAAATTGCCCTCCCACATCTCAGAAGATGATGAAGCAAAACCGACTACTGTGCTATGAATAGACCAGCTTGGCTGACGCGCACTACTGCGCGCATGGTTGAATCTATGGTAATGGTACTAATCGCTGACAGGATTCCTGTGCTGACCCCGAACACTGGGCCCGAGCGCCATTTTTTGAAATACGGCCCATTTCATTATGTTTCTCCTGTTTAATGAACATTTGCTAATGTCTGGTGCTAACAGCTTAGCGGTTGAAAGAATTTCGATGGTAATAACATGGACACCATAGTGATATATTCTCACATCCTAGTACTTTCGTTAAGCAGCTTCCAAAGCTTTTAATTTTTGTCGACTCTCGAGTGTTTAGCGGTCGAATCAGTCATAACCCTATCGCTAAGGGATGTTGACTCATAAGCCTCTGCCCATTGTTTCGTGGGCACCGGTGCTCAAGTTCAGGCTGAGCAGTAAGGATGCGAACAGGTACTGGTGCTTATCAGCCCTTTTCTCACACTATATACAACTTATATCCCTTCACGAATGCTCTGTAACCCCTTCTGAATGACTTGCCGGAAGCAGTTCCCCCAGTGCTGCTACAACTCGTGCTATGAACTTCGGGGGCGTCCTCTGCCGTCTTGCCACCCAATAATAATTGTCCCATCCTGATCCTGATCTAACTTCTTGGAACCAACGTCCCATCGCTGTTGTGGCCGGCGCTATAGAGTTGGTGACCTTTCCCTTCTAAGGCTCCTCGTAGTTATCACAAGAATGCTGAGTTGTGGGCAAAAGTCGGACCACGGACGGGACTTCGAACCCGCATCTTCTGCTTACCGGGCAGTTGCGTTCCCTACTTACGCTACCGGGGCCAGGCAGTTCGAGTCCCGCGCGCGTGGTCTCGCGACTTTTGGCACCCAACTCAGCATGTCTGTGATACTTTCGTATCGCGCACTGCGGCGTAAAACAGCAGTTAATAAACAAATAAGTCTAAAACTTGTAAAAAGCCTTCAGCCTTGCGGTTCACTGCCGATATCGGCTAACCGGCTCATCACGTTGAACGTGTGAGTGCTCGAAGGCAATGGCACAAATAGCCATTGAGCTGAGAGGTCAAAAGTGGCCCCGGTAGCGTAAGTGGTAACGCAACTGCCCGGTAAAGCAGAAGATACGGGTTCGAGTCCCGCCCGTGGTCCGATTTCGCACTCAGCATTCTTGTGATAACTTTCGTATCGCGCACTGCGGCGTAAAACAGCAGTTATCAAAGCAAAAAAGTCTAAAGGCTCTCGTAGTATCTTATCAGCATGTTATCCTTCCTGCCCACCCATCAATATGTTCCATCCTGCCCCCTATCTTAGTGCTTGAATCCAGAGTAGCCGGTCGTGCTTCTGGCCGGTGTATGAATTAAGGTTAACGCACCTATTCTTAAGGCCCTCATGGTATCTTTTCACCTGTTAGTCGACTTCCTGCACCCACCAATATATCCTGATCTGTTCCTGCCACACCCCCTACATAACTTATCAATTTGAGCGCTTTATCGCTGTTTTGAAGAAAGTTATGAATTTCCGGTCAAACATACGCACAGACAAACATTCACACCACACACACACAACACACAACATACACCACACCAACAGACGACACCTAGCGCGATTATATATAGTAGGGTTATGGTGAAAGGTGGAGTTTTTACCTTTGTGTTAGCGAAGCGTACGTGGTTAATCAGGCGCGTGATGGCACGTGATTTCAGTCACTGTTACTCTGTCTCTTCGAATAATCCTACTATATATAATCCGCTAAGTTTGTCTGTTGGTGTGTTGTGAATGTAATGTTTGTGTGTCTGTATGTGTGTTTGACCGGAAATTCATAACTTCCTTCAAAACAGCGATTGTGCTCAAACTGATAAGTGATGTAGGAGGTCGGGCAGGAACACTATTGGTAGGTGGCAGGAAGTGATAAGAGCTGATAAGATAACATAAGGAGCCTTAGAAGGGAAGGGCCACTAAATTCATAGCGCCGGCCACAGCAACGTCGGGACGTTGGTTCCAAGCAGTAAGATAGGGGGCAGGATGGGAACATTAGTGGTGGGTGGCAGGAAGTGATAACAGCTGATAAGATACCATAAGGAGTCTTAGAAGCGAAGGGTCACCAACTTGATAACGTGCTTCACAGCGACGCTAGGACTTTGGTTCCAAGGAGTAAGATAGTGGGCAAGATGGGAACATTATTGGTTGGTGGCAGGACGTGATAACAGCTGATAAGATAGCCCCAAAAATTCACAGCATAGTTGTAGCCACACTGGAGAATTGCCTCCAGCAAGTAATTCAGGGGTGCATAGGTAACATTAGTAGTGGGAGATAAGTTCAGGTCGTGTCCGACAAGGGCTTTAGGAGTCCGTATATGGTCACATCACCATGGCCAAAGAAACTGTGGGCAAAGGCTTAGTGAGCCAAGATGTTTCTATCCCTTAGCGATATAGTCGGAATTGATTCGACCGCTAAACTCTCGAGTTTCGACAAAAAGTAAAAGTCCCAAAAGCTGTACTAGGATGTGAGGACATTTCACTCTGCTGTCTGTTACCCCGAAACTCTTTCAACCGCTAAGCTTTCCTATTTCCAACGAATGGCGAGTGTTGTCAAAAACGTGATAAGCCCAGTCATTGGCAAATGTTCATTAAAAGGGAGAAACACGATGAAATGGGCCGTATTCCGAAACAAGGGGATTGGGCCAAGTGTTGTGCTCAGCAGAGAAACCCCCTCAGTGATCAGTACCATAGGTTTAACCATGCGCGCAGTATTGCGCGTTAGCCAAACTGGTGATATATATTCAGAGATGGGGAGTATTTGTAACAGAGAAATTAATCGTAATGCGATGAAAAGTAGATCTAGTAGATGATATATATTCAGAGATGGGGAGTATTTGTAGTAGAGACATGAATCGTAAAGCGATGAAAAATAGATCCGGTAGATACATCATCACATCCTGTAGGCATCATCACATCCTGTAGGAAGTGGTTTTTTGTGATCTTATTTGGACTTGTTCCACTGAGACGATTGCAATTCAGAAAAAACCATCGATGGCCGTGCTCATCTTCGATTCAGTGTCGTTGAATCAGTTCAAACGGAGTATGCCGCGGACGACCAAATTCCTCATTGACAACGATTTCTTCACTTTCAACATGTACAACGAGGCTAGTAACTATATCTACCCCACTGATGAAAGATTTTCATTTACGGAATTAGTTGAGGAGAGTGTGTAGTTCTCAGAGCTGCGAGAATGACACTCTTTTTTCATCATTTCTAAGTTTAAGTAATTCGTCAAGGTGATCCGTGGTCGACATGTGTTGACGCAAAGTGCTCACTTGCTCATAATGTAGCACTCATGTGGTGATAGTGATCTACTAGTGGCGGTCAAACATAACTGTCGAATGCCATAGTTCACAGAAACTGAGTTTCTGACTGACAAGGGAACCCCAACAGGTCGATCCGGCCATTTGCAGTGAGATGTATAAATATGGACGTGTCTTGAGCCGCCGAATCCAAATCTGCCCTCCGATTTTGCGGAACGATTCTCCAAAGGGAGTTACGGACCATTTAATCTTAGCTCCGTTTGCTCAAGTTGAGAAGGATAACTGCATGCGGCAAGCCGCCGATGGCCTAGTGGATAAGTGCATTGCTTCAGAGACACGAGGTCGAATGTTGGAATCCTTGGCTATCGAAATCTTTTGCTTTTCATTCAAAACACTTGGTATGAGCCCTCCGAAATTTCTATTTGGCCATTTCGCCTAATTTCTTGATTAGTTGCCAACGAAAGGCGGGCGATTCCCCATGTAGGGTTCCTCTTGAAAACTTTTTTATTATGAGGATAACCACATGTCACAAGGGTTTTTGCAATGAAATACCATCATATTCATGTTCAGCGGGTCAAACTACCCCTGGGGACAAATTTCTAGCCGAATGAAAGCATAGGGGAGCTCACCTACCGTTGGTGAATGGTCTCGAGATGGAACTACCTCGTGGTAAAGAGGACGATGATGCAAACGGCAAGAATAAGTAAGCCGGGTAATGTCTTTGCGAAAAGGCACATGAAGAGGTATTTCAGTTGGTCATCATCAGTATGGTAGTCGTAGTATCGCTTTGGCTATCAGTCAGCCACAGCTATTCATAACCCATTTTCTCGAAAATGAGTTAGAACCTCGGATTCCGCTGGGGTGACGTCTCTAGGGGTTATTTGACCCCCTGAACACGAATATGATACCTGTTTTGCGCGAAGAGCGCTGTGAGTTGCGCTACAGGTGCTAACGCTTTGGCGCTGGCGCGCCCGGAAGAAGAAAAGCAATAAAGAAAAACCTCACAACTCCGCTCAGAGAATCGTTCCGCAAATTTTAAAGATAGTCTTGTGTTCATCGTGGCAAGGTGAGTACAATGATGTACATTTCGTTGCAAATGGCCGGGCTGACGTGTTGGCCTTTCCTGGTCAGCTTGTGCAAACACAGCAAAGATTAAATGGTCCGTAACTCCCTTCAGAGAATCGTTCCGCAAAATCGGAGGGCAGATTCGGATTCAGCGGCTCAAGACACGTCCATACGTATACATCTCATTGTAAATGGCCGGATCGACCTGTTGGGGTTCCCTTGTGAGTTGAAACCGGAACCCTCTAGCACAATTATGGCGTTGCAAAGACTTCGGTCAGGGCAGTTCGGCAAGGGAGGGGTGGGGGACATTTTGCACATTTGCTGTTCCACTAGGTCCGCTTTGTATACCTCGCTCTGGCGGAACCTGTGAACTCCTCTGAAGCTGGAGCAAGCTCGTAGGGCCACCATGGTAGAGTCTGTCAACTCTTGTGTGTTATGAAATAGCTCTCTAGAAAGGGTCGACACGTCCATGGCAAAAGAGCAAAGTCCCCCTCCGTTGCTGAACTGCGCCCTTTCGGCTATGTTATAAACTGGGTAAAGCGGCAACACTGAGTCCCTTCGCAAAGGGTTGCACCTATTAGGGTTGCACCTATGTTACCTATTATACATTAGTTGATGTTGTTCCGATAACTGAATAGGGCGAGACCCCCAACATTCGAAAGTGATACCTTCCCTTAGAATTGAACTGGAATTGTGTAAACAGACAAAGTGATAATTCGGGAACAGAACTTCTGGGGATTTCCGCCCTGGCTAGAAGTGGCGAGTGCCGCTCACATAGTGAACTTGAAAAACATGATAAGTCACTCGCCGATGACCAGAATGAGGCGTCCCACTACCGCTTCCGTTCTTCGGTTGTTTCGTAGTTTGGCTACCTCGATAGATCGAATGCGAGTTCAGAAGTACAGATGGGCTACAAGTAAATTGCTGCTACTTCGAATGATTCCAGGCGATTTCCAGTGATAGGATAGTTTAGCTTAGCTATCAATGTAAAGTTTCGAGGAAATAAGTAGTTTCGGTCAAGCAGAATGGTGTAGATAATGCTTCGAATGACTTGGTAGCACTTGAATAACTTGAGCTCTTCTGCATAGTGCGTTTTGCACTGAAAGATGCGGAGGATGGTGGGAGACTCGCGTGGGAAGTTGGAATTCCTGAGGTCACATTCTTCATATTATGCAAACGAGACAGCGCAGACAAACACAGCAAGTTGAGATGTGGGATAGTGTAGACCGTCAAGGGTCAAATCTCTTATCGAATTCTACTATGGCTCTTCCTTCTCAGATCTTTATCTATATGGTATTGGTACGAGAATGGGTGAAGTACACCGTGTTTTTCATCTTGCCCCTGCAAGTGTATTGGCCAAAACTGATAACGACGTCGCAGCAGTGGAACCTTGGTTCCAAAAGGTGACTTGAAGTCAACGCTCAAATATCCCGATGACGTGCGCGACGCGAAGTCTAAAGCTTTTCATACCATTCTTGGAGCCAACGGTCCACTGCTGCTGCAACCCGGGCTATCATTTGGGAAACCCTAAACGAGTATCGATCGCGTGGGTCACGAACTGTTTGGAGACAGTATCGAGAACAGGATCGCACGGTATGGAAGATTAGGACGGTATGCCTTGCTCAGACGTGTAGTCCACTACGTCTTTCATACTTGAAATAGCAGCAGCCGGCGCCGACCGATCCCCGTCCACGATCACGTTCCCGTCTATAGCAGTGTAGCGCGTTTGCAATAGTAACGCGTCGACGTGCGTCATCCCGAAGTCTGAACGACGCTGAAGGAGAGGGGGCGTGATGCTGGATGACCGGCACAGACCCTGATAATGGATAAGAAGGGTTCGAAAAATTGTCAGCAGGATAATCCTTCATCAACAATTCTAGCGAGAATAATTCAAAGCTCCTCACAGTTGCATGCTTTGGTGTACGTACGCAGGTTCACTGATAGTGGGAGCTATCGTGTGGTGCCCATAACGACGTGCGATAGCCAAAAGTATATCACCGCTAGGCGCCGCACCTTTTTGTGGTTTACGAACGACTCGCTAGAAGTAGTACAGGACTTTCTGTCCAACTCAGCACTTTTGAATCGCATGATCTCATGGAACTCGTTTTGTCTCCTAACTGGTGAGCGTATTTCAAGGCTCTTTTTATCCCTGTTGCTTTGAAGTGTTGACTCTCAGTGGTGGATGAAGTAAATGATTCGATGTAGACTCTGCGTCACTATAGGCTGACTTTCAGATGAGTGACAACTCGGAAAAGAATCTTCTTCAAATACTGAGAGGAGGTGAGGAAGAGAATGAAGAGTTTCTCTGGGATGTGATGAGAGGTTGGTTTTTTTCGAAAAAATCTAAAACTTTTCAATTTCCACCTACTCGTAATCATCATTCTTTCTAGATCGCAAGTGTTTCACATACTTGAGCGAAGAGGTTGGAGATTTCCCTCCACTTCTCGGAAACATAAGCCTCAACGTGGAACATGACCTGCGACCGTTCTATAAGTACAGTAAACAGAACAACAAAAGTCACTGCACTTCCGATGGACGAGTAGGTTTGATTGAAATAGAGAGAAGACTGCATTGAGAGGTCTCAATTAAGGTTGCATCCCATGAGCACATCGAATATTGGAAGAATACAATTCGTAATGCGAAGAGGTACTGTCATTTCTCCATGCACTACATGAGAACGTACAGCAGGAATGGCTCTGAGTACCTACCTCACCTAGACACCGAACTACGGTTAGTAGTGTTCAATATCGTTTTTCAACATCGTTTCCGTTTTTAAATGTCCCGTTCGAGGCACTTTACCAGAGAGTCGAAAAAAACCGAGCTGTTCGGCTGCCATCTTTAGCTTCAATTCGTCGTTAGATCCTTTTTCCTGTAGAAATCCAGTAGTTGTGCGATTTCTACCTTTGATCCTAAACCTGTCCACCACATCTTACGACTGGAGAGGGATATAAGGGACGACCATATCGATGAACAAGAGGCAGGACACGTCCTGCCTTAGTGAAAAATTTTGCAGAACACGACCATCTAAAAGTTTCTCCTTCTTTGGTACGACTCCCATTTTTCATCCTTCCTACCATCTTCGTAGGTTCCCGATTTCCTGCACCATTTTCGGATCTTTTTTTAAACCCGTCACATCTTCCCCAAAAAATTGATATCGTGGGGGGGGAGTGGAGGGATAAATAACACGAGCAAAACAGGAAAGACCGACAAAAATCAACAACTGGGAACGTTTTCCACAGAAGGAAGTGCGACCCCTCCCGCTTTTCTCCGAGCGATTGTACTTGACTACAATAGGTCTCGGCGGACACGATAGCGGTGAGAGGAGGAAATTCCCTGCGGTAAACCCCACCATATATACACTGCGAAGCATAATCATAGTTCCACCCATGAATCTCACAAAATCCCGTCTTACACGACGTTTTCAAAAATGCCCCCATACAGAAAATGTGGTAATTACCAATACCAATTCGCATGCCAACACCAAACTCTAGCTTGAAAAAACAATTTTTTTTCGTCAATTTTTTCAAAAATGGTCGTTCTGACAACGCAGCAAAAATATAGTTCCACCGCATATTTTCCGGCTGCATCTCATTTTTGTTCGGTGAAACTTCTCATCATTATGACTTCTCGCCTCTTCTAGGCTATGGCAAGTGGAACTTCATTAATGGACCTCGAAAAAGGACAGATTATCGCAAAGAAGACTCAAAAACTGGTGAAGCGTCGATCGCTCGGGATTCGGGCCGCACTCATCATTCTATCAACAATTTTTTCCAAGGAACCTACAGCATATTGAGTTGAGAAGAGCTCTGGACATCCTCTTTGCTTCCCGATCGGAATAACCGCCGTATCCTTAAAAAAGCATCCAACTCTGCAGTGTCGTGTCGGGAAATTAAGTCATCTTCGCAGGTTAATGTCTCGGAGGATACTGTTAGGCGTGTCTTGGAAAACTCCCGAGTTCACCCATAGGAGGAATATGAGTTACGTACTGTTTCTAACGAAAAACCATCGCGAAAACCTAATTGGCTTTGCTCGAAGATGTTGCCGAACCCAATGGAGTGAGGTTGGCTTTTGGCTGCGGTGCCCTACTGCTTGTCTGTGTTTTTCAGTTTTTTTTTCTCGCGGTCGTGTTTTCTGATGAGAAAAAATTCAACTGCGACGGCTCCGACGAAAACCGATCCCGCTGGCACGATATGAGGGAAGACAAGTTTCATTTTTCCGGGCGGAACTTCAGTGGATGTGGTCTCATGGTCTGGGCTGCCATCGCATGAATGGAACGTCTGAAACTGCGCTCCGTATGAAAAAAGAAATGATTTCTTCCGTCATCTAAAAGTCATGCGACAACGTCTCCTTGCTTTCTGGCGTAGAAATCAGCAAGAAAGTCCCGTTTTCATGCAGGATAATGCACCAGTTCATGACAGTCGAAGCACTCGAGCGTGATTCAGTTGTCACCAAACCGCTCTTTTGCCCTGGCCAGCGAGTAGCCCCGACTAAACCCAATCGAGGATGTGAGGGGCTTCATGGTGCGTATGATCCATGAGAGTAATGCACAATTCCACAATGTCCGTGAGCTTAGGGAGTTAATCATTGGGGCAGTCGGCCGAAAGCCTATTAAAATCTCTAATCGAACATGGGCAACCGTATTTTCCAACTTAATTGGAGAAATAGAGTTCCAATAGATTACTGGATCAAAATTTATTCATTTTATTGTACATTTGTTGTTGAAATATTCGATTTGTTCGGTGGAACTATCATTTTGCTGCGTTGTCAGAACGACCATTTTTGAAAAAATTGACGAAAAAAATTGTTTTTTCAAGTTAGTGTTTGTTGTTGGCATGCGAATTGGTATTGGTAATTACCACATTTTTGTATGGGGGCATTTTGGAAAACTTCGTGTAAGACAGGATTTTGTGAGATTCATGGGTGGCACTGTGATAGAAGGATGAAGGTGTCTGTTATGTCGTCGTCTGTTCTGTAGGTGCAAAAGAGAAGGCATGATAGAAGGATGAGGAGTGATCAAGTTGTGCGTAAACTAGTCATCTCCTCATGCGTTTGAAGATTGATGAGACTCCTCTCTTTTTCTGCTTCCAAAGAGATATTGCATTGATTGGTAGTCTGAAAGTATACTACTAGTCATCTAATATGCTACTCTATACTACTAGTCTAGTGTGCATCTAGAACACCGCAGAAACGACATCAAAAGTGACAAGTATTCTGTAAACTACTAGAAAAGGAAACTCGGCAATGACAAGGGTCTGGATTGCCAGTTCATTTTAAAGGATATATAAGAAAACAGCTGTGAAAGAGTGAAGAGCAAAATCATGGGTCAGAACCTCAGATTTCGCTAAGGTGACGTCCCTAGGGGTTATTTGACCCCCTGAACACGAATATGATACCTATTTTGCGCGAAGAGCGCTGTGAGTCGCGCTACCGGTGCCAACGCTTCGGTGCCAGCGCGCCCGTAAGAAGAAAAACAGTAAAGAAAAACCTCCATAACTCCGCTCAGAGAATCGTTCGCAAATTTTGAACACAGTTTTGACTTCAAAGTTTCAAGGCGAGTACAGCGATGTGCATTCAATAACTTCAATTTTTTCCTTCCCTTCGTCCATAATTTATAGAACCAGTCGAATCGCCCGGCTTTGCCGAGCGATCCTCCTTCCGCGTGTGAAGTGGGTGTTGCCCCAGAGTTTTTCAACGTCAAATGTTCGTCAGAAAATGTTTTTCAAAAGTTACCGAACTTCACCGTTTCATTCGTTGTCTCTCCCTAGAAGGCAGTCGTCAGAATTTCCTATAAGGTATGCTTCTCAGTGTTAAGGATTTGCAGAATCAACTATGGCAGGGGGCCCTAACCGTTTGGTACACAACATACTGCTTACGGGTGTCTATTTCTCATTCATCTACCTACCTTTGCACAGTTTCACTCATATTCACCGTTTCCTGGGCTGCTCCGGATGCGTTTTGAGGAATTTCATCTTCGTCCGCTTCGGCGGAACGCCCCGCCCATTGTGGGCGGAGCTTAGGTGACGTTGTGTGTACTCTGCAAATGCTGGTCCATGTCACGTCTATTCTAAGCACAATCAGCACCCTTAAAGTGAATTTCACGAAACCCCAATTTCAGGCGGTCACACAGACATACACACACAACTTCTGTTCATATATAGAGAGATACTTCTTATCTAGTCAACTTACTAGTTATCCTCCTAAAAAAACTTCTTCTTAATATTCCTTCCAGTATCGATTTCGATGTTGACAGAACATAATTACCAGTGAAAAAAATCACTGAACCATCACACCATCCTATATGGCACCAGGAGCTTTACCACAGAATGATTGCCATGTCCAATAGTACAATCGAATACCTGAGCGCGAGTCTGTTACAACAAGTTTATTAGAAAAATGTCGCCCCGACTTGGCGCACGTATCACTCTGATATCAAGTTGCGCGGACGCTAAATCGAATAAAATATTCGTAATAAGGTGTCGAATACCCATAGTATAGTAACAGTATGTCGATTCACGTGAGAAGGGTGGTGGCGCCAAACCGACGCCCATTGTCGCCAGTAGTCGATCAGGGCCAAAGAATGTAAGTGTCTCCGAATAGAAGTGAATGCCAGTGAACCCTGCACCGACATTCGGCAGCCCGCTGTGCTCGATGGTGAAACTTTTTCGGTTTTCGCTAGATCTGCGCTGGTATACGTGAAACTGAAAGATAATTAGAAGCCGGAATCAGGCGATTCCGCTTACTGACCCAAAACGTGAAATTTCATGTACGCCCCTCAGCCTTTATCGTTCCTGCAGTGGTAATCGCGAAGACGTATTTCGATTTAGAGATGCACTGAAAATTCTGAAAGGTAACGATCTATTCGAGGACACAATCTTCGTGCTTCTGTCAGGTCGAGGAAATCCTCTGAGGTAAGCCATAATATGTTCATTCAGTCACAAAAGGCTCATCAACTCACAAAACTTCTTGGAGCAAAACAAAGAAATAAGGAAAGAAATGTTGTTTCTGCAAGTTTGTTCCAAGGCTGAGTCCTGCAGTGGCTGATGATGGAACTTTATAAACCCACTCTATGAAGATTACAATCCTCTCAACCGATCGCAGAGTCTGTTGTGAAAGGTTTGCTTCGGGGACTGGCTTGAAAAACACATGTTCTCGCGGGATCCTCCGAGCACCCTTTGAATGCCATCTCCGCGTAGGTCGACGCAACACAAATGGATGTCAGCTCGATTTAGACACCTTGCTCGTAATTGCACTCAAATAGTTAAAGGCAGTTGCCCCGACAGACCTCTGAGATGAGCAGGATTGATACGCCTCGCAAAACGGAATTCCGCGCCCTTAGGCAGGCACTGCGTGGCGCCTTTTCTAAGGAAAGTACCTTGTAAGGGCCCCATCAAGTTGCAACATACTGACCCGAACGCCCACCATGCCCGCCCGCCCACAAATGGACGACCGTACCTGTGCTCATATTGCTTCATTGCTAAGTAAAATATGAAGCGAAGGGATTGGTATGCAATATGGGTACACTAAGGCGGCCGTATCTACCGTAGCTGTTACTGGCAAGATGCCTACGGGGAATTCGTCCGAACTGCCCTTGAATTATCAGGAATGAAGACTTTTCGCATGTTTTTGACCGTTTCACTTCGTTTTTTCGCCAATTTCCCCACTATATAGCGCCCTGCTAGCATTTTAGGCCGAGCACGAAATTGTCCTACCTTCAATACGTAACTGACCTTGAATAACTACATTTGATTAGGAGAGCAACTAGCAGTCAGAAGGGGCATTGCTTCGGCTGTAAAGGTGCTGAAGGAGAGCGTTCCGAGCTGTGATACAAAGTTTTTAGCTTGACATTTTCGACAGCACTCTGAGAGTGGTAAAAGTGATGTCAAAAGCCGACTGCGCGAAGCGAACAAATTCTATCTCTCTAATCGAGGATACGCTTCAGATCTTGCAGCGACTTCGTATAAGGGATGCGAGACATGTATACCTCACTTCCTCTTCAAAACTGTAGCCCCCGCTTTAAGGCTTTTGGAAGAAGACAGGATAATGTGCGGTACTTGGAAGCATCGTTTTTTCTCTGCAGCTCCTTGATTTTGGTCTCTGCAGCTCTCTTATGTACACCAGGCAGTGTAGAAGAAGAAAGTTAGAGGGAGTCAGGATTGACGACGTGAGACACAATTTTCGTCCACAATGCAAGAACGGAAAAGTAGGAACAAATGAGGGGTACGAGAGGAAGAGAATTCTTTTAGTATTATTGCTCACATTATCAAACCTCTTAGCATCACTATGTATTCCACCTCTTCGGACTAAGGCATGTACTTCAAGCTTGAAGCTTATGACAGAACCTTCCCACAAACTAATAAAAGAGTGGGCCGACAGCGAATATACGGCATTACGTTGCTTTCATACTTTACGTCGGGCTTCGACTGCTTCGAGGAGACCGTCTTTTTGAGCAGTTCGGGCGAAAAGAAGTATAAGTAGCGATCCAGCGTGGTGAAAAAAACGGGCGAAGGAGAGCCGACGTTCAATGAATCGGCGTTTCGTTTCAGCGTTTCACGCCATGGAGTTGTGATCATTTTCCGCTAAATGCGACCTTCCCCACAAACAAGGGTCTCAATACATAGGATCCCTCCCCTGTGCATTGCGAGCGGAGGATTTGCGGCGATATTGGAGAAAGCTATTTCACGATCCGGAGCCAGTTCCAAGCCAAACAGTCGAAAAGTACCCTTCACTTGAACACCCATAACTTCTTTGAGAGTGGAGCTTTCGGAGAGGGGAAAGCAGGACTGTGGAGCACTAGGTTGGCACTTGTTGCCTGAGTTTAAGCGATCCAAAGCAAAACCTTTTCCAAGGAATTCTCTCCGTTGTGATCCCGTTGTAATCATTGGTCACTTACAAGTCCTTACGCATTGAACTGCCATAAAAAAATTTTTTTTTCTTCATGGGCCATTTGTAAAACAAAAGGCAGTGACGGAATTTCGAAGCTTTCTACTTTCCAGCAAGACTTTCGTTTTACCCCTAGGCCTGCTATGCGAAACAATCCCCGTGATCATTACGCGATCCCTTCCGGACAATACGAAAAATCCACCACTCCGACGTCCTGTAGTGCGCCATGCATAAGGCTCTCACGCAGAGGTATTGAGAAGGTGCAACTTCCAGAAAGGGCTTCCTCCGTGCAAGTAGATGTGCTCCTGCTATCAGAAAGGTCCGGAAGTGTATTTACATCTGTATTAATTCGGAACGTCCTTGTGGGCGGGCATCGTATCTCCTGTCATCTCCGTTCCTCACTTCTGCGCTGGCAGGTTGCTTCTGTCTTGTGTGCGTCCTTCAGGGGTTCTTCACATGGATAAGTCTTTCATCATTGACGCTGAACGACATCTGAGTATCACTGCTCTCTCCACTTCAGAATGGGCCATGCGCTTACGACCCCCCCCCTCCATCGCGGTCAAATACGACCCCCCCGTTGCGATGATCACAAAGATGGCGTGCCCTGTTGGCAACGTGAATCGGGGAACTTCCCGAAGAAAACTCCACTGTTACGGCCATAATTATCAGCATCCTTCCGAGGAGGAATAAGTCTATTCACTCCGCTTGCATAAAAGTCCGGAGCTCTAGAGGGTATCGATGATTGCCGATACAGCAGCACGTTGGTTTCTAAAGCAATCCTCTCGGAGCAAGCTGTCGAGATATACGAAGAAGTGGTGGCCGGTTGGATCTACTATATATAGTGCATATGAAAGAGTTTCGTTGCCTACTTCGCTCATTCTCTTCAAATCAGATTGAGCGACGTGGGGTCATGCGTCATCGTGGTGTGGGATTGCCCGCTTTCTGTTGCCGTGCTTGAGAGGTGGGGTACACTTCTCTTTTCGACTGCAATTGCCTTGCCCGTATCCATGAAGTTGTAGTGGATCAGACCAGCAGCAGTCACCCCAGAACAACTTTCTTTCCGTTTTTGCTTAGATTTCGGAAAATATTGAGAAGCTTAGTTCTTGTTCAGACATCGATCAATTTCAACCGATTACATACCACCAGGTATTTACTCCATTACTCATTATACTTTATGATACTCCGAAACTCAGACTCAAAAGTAAATAGTTTCTGCTGCGCGAAGCAAGGCGTAGCAGATCTCGAAAGGCGAAGAGTTCGAACAAGTTCGAGTTCGAACAAGAGTTAGACTAAACTTATGCGGCAGCAACTTACCATGCTTCCTCTAGCTTCTGATCTGGTACATATGCTCCTGCTCAGAATAGTCATTCTCGACGCACAATATTTCAACGCTGGATTCTCTTTAACTAATACTATCAGCCGTTCGTTGTCAGCATCCGATGTCCGTTCACGATCATCTTTGGAACCCTCATTGCACACCCACTGCATTATTTCCTTTCTCAGGGCCAAACGCTCCTTTGATCTCCCGAACAGTTTCCGCTGCTTTCCTGCCTACTATAAGGTGGAATATAAAGATTGCGAAACCGTCGTTTGTCCATGTTATTTCGACTATGTGAAGATTTGGGGAAAGCACTCCTTTTAACCGAAGACCACGGGAGTTTTATTCACAACCCAGCACCTCTTGTGTAGCCTCTTGCATCGCATTCGCACGCCTGTTGTGCGTGCGAAACTGTGTACTGTAAAATAAAAATGGTAGAAAGGATGTTGATCAGTACATATATTTTTGAACTAGAGATAGACAAGCTTATGGCAGACACTCAAAACCTAATTGAGATTCAATTCTAGGGAGGGGGACGAGCTGTTTGCGGCTCGTGTTGAAGAGCGATCACCCCTATTCTCTATAAAATTGCCGGAGAAGTTCCTGAGATGGCACCAGTTCTTGAAACTCAATCTTGATTCGAACGTGAACAGGTGAGCTTGCTACAACTGATCGATTTGGCCAAACTCATATTGAGCCATTTTATTAATACGTGTAAGGGAAGGTCTTTTGGTTTCTCTTCGAATTTTCCATATTTTATCTTCAGATTTGCCTTTCATTCTTTACCTTAGCAAGAAATCATTTCTGCTTGTTCAGATTAGTTAGTACGAAGGATGTTGGCATGACACTAATGGACCTAGCTAGGATGAACCTGAGCTCTCTGGATGTTCCGGTGGCCGAGCAGGAGGACACGCGTGAGCCCAAATTGTATATTTCATCTCCTTCCGCCATCTTGAATAAAATTTTATTTAGTGAAAGCAGTTTCGCTCCTACGGGCTGCACATGCAATCTACCGCTCATGCGATGACGCTAATATTCCTCCATATCTATGTCTCTGTATGGATGAGAAAGCCCTGCTTTCCGACCAATACACCAAGTTAGTTGCTTTTTATCTCTACACTAATCGAGTAGAATGGCGGAAGCTTCCAACTGGCCAATGCTATGGGTCATATTGAATGTATGGATGTCCTCCTGCCATCTATTCGTTTTTCAGCCACTGCTACAAAGCCATGAGAAGCGACCAGATCATCTGGGAGCAGAGTATCAAGATATTTCTAAGTAAACGTAGGTTATGGACAATAAAAGCTCTGACGCTCTTTCGAGACAGGAGTGAACATTGTCTGAATGGTTACCAGATTTGTTCGAATTACACTTGCCTACCTTAGAATCGGGGACTCATATTAGCGTTCAAACATTCCACCAATATTATTAAAGTGTCATTGAAGAGGTGCATATATGCATCATTGATTACTGCAGCCGTTTTCGCTGCAGATGCTGGGGATGTCAGGGGACGTGTTGGGTTATCATGGTCCAATTGTTGAAGCGGGCAAGCAGGAAGGACTGGCAGAAGACGGGCAGGCGCCGGCTGAACACAGCTCTGATATGCCTTTTCAGGTTCCACTGCCGCAAGCATGCTAATGGACCATTTCATTAACATACGGATAGGTTATTCAAAGTGTTCACGGCTTCCCCAGTTTATGTTTACAACAACTTTAATTTGCCGCGAATTTGCTTTGAACAAAGAATAGAATCGAGCTGTTATTGTTTAGTAACTGCTGTTTAACGCCGCAGTGCGCGATCCGAAAGCTATCACAAGAATGCTGAGTTATGGGCAAAAGTCGGACCACGGACGGGATTCGAACCCGCATCTTCTGCTTACCGGGCAGTTCCCTATTACGCTACCGGGGCCACTTTTGACCACTCAGCTCAATGGCTATTTGTGCCATTGCCTTCGAGCACTCACACGTTCAACGTGATGAGCCGAAGGCGGGTTCGAATCCCGTCCGTGGTCCGACTTTTGCCCATAACTCAGCATTCTTGTGAGCTTTCGGATCGCGCACTGCGGCGTTAAACAGCAGTTACTAAACAATAACAGCTTGAAACTTGTAAAAGCCTTCAGCCTTGCGGTTCACTGCCGATATCGGCTAACCGGCTCATAGACCGAGGCCGATAGGCGTAGAATAATACCTTGAGTGATTCCTCTGGATTAATCCGATGTGATTACCTACTGCTAGTACTCGGACACCATGATGAAAACCTGACTTCTTCACAATCAGCTTCAAATTCAATTCAATCAAAATTGAAGTCAACGACCCTGTTTCAGCTGGTCTTTCAACTTTTCTTTTCGTTCCGAGTTTGGGTAGACTGACCTCAGCCCTCGAGCATCCATTTACTTTATCACTCACGAATGAAAAACGCTTTTGCCGAAAGCCAAACTTTCTGAAATACCCCACGCTTCCTATTTCCGTGCAGAATTGTAGACGCCTTCTGTAATACAATAAGGTATCTATGAAAAAT